CTCCCCTGGTCCTACTCTTCACTAGACTAGCCATGTCCAGTTCCTGTAACCGTTCTTCATATGTTTTAGTCTCCAGTCCCCTAATCATCCTGGTTTCTCTTCTCTGTATTTTTCCTAGAGCCTCAACATCTTTTTATAATGTAGTGACCAAAACTGGATGCAGTACTCTAGGCTTTATAGAGTGGTATTAGTACCTCACTTGATCTTGATTGTATCCCTCTGTTAATGCAATTTAGGATTGCGTTAGCTTTTTTGGCTGCTGCTGCACATTGCTGGCTTATATTTAGCTGATTGTCCACTAAGACTCTAAGATCCCTCTCACAGTTACTGCTATTGAGCCTGGTTTCACCCAGTCTATATGTGTACTTTTGGTTTTTCTTGCCTAAGTGTAGGACTTTACTTTTTCTACATTGAATTTCATTGTGTTAGATATGGCCCAGTGTTCTAGTCTGTCAAGATCCATCTGGATTTTGAGCCTATCTTCTTGGGTATTTGCTATTCCTGCCATCATCTGCAAATTTGGTAAGTTCCCCTTCTATTCCCTCATCTAAGTTGTTAATGAAGACATTGAAGAGTACTGGGCCTAAGACCTTGTGGCACCCCACTGTTTACTTCCCTTCATGTAGACTTAAACCCATTAAGGACTACTCATTGAGTACAGTTTGTCAGCCAGCTGCGAGTCCATTTAGTGGTGGTGCTATCTATTCCACTTTCTTCTAGAAGTAGGTTGTGATCTACTTTGTCAAATGCCTTGCTGAAATCTAAATATATTATGTCCACAGTATTTCGCTGGTCTACTAATTTAGTCACTATGTTGAAGAATGAAATAAGATTGTTTTGGCATGATCTGTTTTTAACAAATCTATGCTGACTGCTAGTTATTACTTTACTTGTTTCTAGATGTTGGTAGATCTGTTTTTTTTTTTATTATTTTTTCCAGTATCTTCCCGTGTATTGATGTTAGGCTGATTGGTCTATAGTTTCCTGGGTCTGGTTTTTTCCCCCCTTTTTTGAAGATGGGAACCACATCAGCTCTTTTCCAGTCCTCTGGTAGTTCCCCAGTGCTCCAGGATTTTTTAAAGATATGGTGCAGTGGTTCTGAGATGACCTCTGCCAGCTCCTTTAAAATTCTGGGGTGTAATCTATCAGGCCCCAGTGATTTGTGTTCATCAAGATCAAACAGGTGTTCTCTTACTATTATTATTATTATTTTGCTTATTTTAACTTTTATTTCTGGTCTGTCTTTTACAGTTATGTTTTTGGTTGAGCTATAGTTTCTTTTGCATGAAGACCAATGCAAAGAATGAGTTAAGCAGTTCTATTTTTTCTCTGTTGTCTGTTACTTCCTTGCCATCTTCTCTCTTTTGTGGACCGACTGTTTCCTTGATTTTTTTCTTGTAATTTATATGTTGGAAGAACCTTTTTTTATTATCTTTGACTTTTGTTGCAAGTCTTTGTTCGTTCTGAGCCTTTGCTTTCCTGACTTCATCTTTGCAGATTCTGACTATCTGCTGATATTCTGCCTTAGTTGTATGTCCCTCTTTCCATTTTTTTAGTGCTTGTCCTTTTTTTCTTTCAATTTGCCAGAGAGATCTTTGTGCAGCCATGCTGGTTTCTTATTGGATTTCTTATTTTTCTTTTTCAGTGGTATTGTGCTGGTCTGGGCTTCTATGATCGTACTTTTCAGAGTTTTCCAAGATTCTTGAGTTGTTTTCCCCTTTAGGATTTTCATCCGTGGAATCTTTCCCAAGTTCTCTCTGAGTTTATTGAAATCAGCTCTTTTAAAATCCAAGACTCTGGTGTCATTATGTTCTATTGCTTGTGTTTGTGTTATGTTGAATTCTAATACTACATGGTCACTCTCACCCAAGGTTCCTGCAGTTTCAACCCCCTCTATCACTTCTCTGTAAGAATTAAGTCCAGTATGGCTGTCCCTCTAGTTCCATCCTCTACCTTTTGCACAACAAAGTTGTCGGCTAGGTTGGTTAGGAACTTATTTGATTTCTCACTTGATGCAGAATTAGTTTTCCAATTGATATCAGGATAATTGAAGTCCCCCATTACTATTGTTGTGTATATGTTTGTTAATTGGTTGGCAAAAAGGACATTTTTTTCTGCTTGATTGGGTGGCCTATAATATACACCTATGGCCATGTCATTCTTTTTACTTTTATATTGACCCATATGCATTCTAGGAGGTTTTCATCTTTGGTTTCATGCATTTCTGTAGCAATATAGTGGTTCTTTACATACAGTGCAACTTCACCTCCTCTTTTATGGCATCTGGTTTTTTTTAACAGTTTGTATCCTTCTACCAGTATGTTCCAATCATGGGTTTCATCCCACCAAGTTTCTGTAATTCCAACTATATAATATCTACCTTCATGTAATCGTAGTTCGAGTTCACCCTGTTTGTTCCCCAGGCTTTGTGCATTTGTATATAGGCACTTGAGATCTTTATGTCTGACGCTCTGTTTACTGTCTACATAACCTGTGTTGTGCCTGCCCGCCCCAACTTTCTTTCCACCTGTTTGATTAATGCACATGGTTTGGCACTCACTATTAAATGCTTAAAAGATCAACTCTCCACTTCTCAACTATTCCAACAATTTCAAGTTGTTCTTCTTTTTGGGTGTTTTTTCTAATCTTAAACCTTTCACTCTCTTTTCCCCCCTTTTCTCCCCCCCCCCACTTAAAATTATTTGATCGTTAAAGATGGCTTCATCTTTGTCCCAATCTTCTTGTTCTGCAAGCGTTTCTTGTTGCTTCTCATAGTTCCAGATCTCCATTTCTAAGAATTGAAACACGAAGCCAAAAGAACTTCTCCCTTCTTGTGCATCTTCTTTCCATTTTTTAAGTTCCGTTTTCAGTTCTTCTAAGAGTGATACCATTTTAAAAACTTTTAAACAACCACCTGGTTAATTTTAGTCATCTAGATGCAAAAACCAAAAATCACCAAGTAATCCAAATAATCCAAGGCTGTTTCTACTTGCTTCTTTTTTCCACTTTCTCTTCCTGGGGTTCTATTATTTTGTTACCAAGTTTCCATTAAAATGTATCTTTGAGGAATCTTGTTAAAATTTCACTGTAAATTCCTTTTAATTACAGTTCCATTCCTTAATTCCAGGCAGTCTCCTCCATTTTTTTCCAGATCCTGCCCTTCTATTCTTTTTTTCCCTCTTTTCCAGCTTTTAAAAACTTTTAAATGTCCAGAAATCTTTATTATCCCTTTGACTTTTATTTTCAGCTTAGATGCCTATTAATTTCAAAGTGGATTTTTTTTTCAGTTTCTTGCTTAAGTCCCTTAGCTGTCAGTATAAGGAAGGGAAGAAAAAAAACCTAATCCTTTCCCTTCTCTCTCTCCTTCGCAGCTTCAAAATCTTCTTTGGGAACAATGTTGTTAAGTTTAAATTCCAGGGTACCTTATTTGTTGCTTTTGCTGTTTGATCTGGTCAACCAAAACTTTCTCTTCTTATCTTCCTCCTGCACATTCTTTTCCGGTCGAGTTCTTCTTTGTGGTGGCCATTTCTGACCACCGCTACAGCTGCCTTCGGGAAAGGGGGTAATGGCCAGCTGGGGAGGAGAGATGCGGCTCTCCTCAATCCTGCAGGCAGTCTCCCCCCTCTTCACCACCTCTACGAGGTGGCTTAGCCCCGAAACCAGCCGGCTCGGGGCACTCCAGTGGTGAGCATGGATTGAAGCCTCGGAGAGATGAGGTTTCGGTCTGTCACCGAAGAAACTCAAACCGAAAGATAAGTATAATATTAGAAAGCAACAGAAAAGGGGATTACAGATGAGAGTTAAAAGTAGAGAGACGAGGGGGTAAAAAGGGGAGGGAGAAGAAGAGGGGGAAGAAGGCAAGGAAAAGAAGTTGTAAAAGTTCAATCTAAGATTGAACTCTTTACATTCTGAATGGGAGGTGAGTGTCTTCACCTCTAGGCCACTGTGCTGCTCTTAATTTCCTTCAGGGTAACATAAATACCAAAGTATTCCAAAGACGCTTACATATACCAAGAGGAAAACAACATGAACTAAGCAAAAGAGTTTCTTACAAATCATAGTCAGCACTGACTTTTCCTCATCCCACCAGTTTTCCTTATGACCATTATACTTATATTGTTGTTCACAATTATGTACTATAATCCTCCATATTGACTTGAAGATTTCTAATAGAAATGATGATCATGATGATCATAGAAACAGCCATGCATTACATATTTTTTCATATGTTCTTGGCATGAGTCTTTTCACTGTCTTTTTTATTCCTTTTCATCTCTGACAATCATGACTATTCAATAACTCACCTCTAATATTGGCCCTATTCCTTGAATTTTTTTTAACTTTTCAAACAGTATGTTACATATTGGCTTCTTTTTAACCGGAATCAGTTAAAAAGTTGCTTTGCTGCTTCTTACAAATTCCTATTCCACGACTCAGTTCCATTTTAATCTGATTGGATTAAAGAAAAATGTCAGATATATTTTACCTGTATCATTTCCTAGTATTATGCTTAGTTTGGGGATGTGACAGCAATCCACAAATACATATTTTAATATTATTTAACAGACTTGCTATTAAATATGAGGGATTTTGATAGGTCTTTACAAAGGTAGTTAAGACTTTATTATTTTTCCACAACTTTGGGTGAGGTTAATTGGAGTATCAACTGGATAAGTTGAAGTATATTTTAGTATGGCTGCCATTGTATTGAGTTTAGTTGGTTTTAATATATTTTATTGTTTTCCATTGATTGATTGCCACACTGTTTGTGTTGGACAGCCAGATTAATTTTATCAATCAATCAACAGCACTTCAAGATCTTTAAATATTTTGATACCATAGTTCTTATCTTGGAAATTTTACAAATAATTTGTAATATTATCATTATTTTGTACCCTATTCTCATGAAGTAGAAATTAGATGACATTAATGAATAAATTAGAAATAAAAATGGATACAAGTATGATACACATGATTTATTTACCTTTCAGGAGGGTTCTATGGACAGTTTGTATGAACCAGTTAAAGAAAATCAAGAAGTACAAGAAGATACTTGCATAAGTAGCAGAGCTAATACACCAGTAAGTGCTTGGGTCAAGGTAGATTGACAGAAAGATTTCATTCTTTCATAAGTGACTTATATAATGCAAAGATGACCATATTGCAACTAAAAAAGAAGAGAATATTGATATAAGAATATTATTGTGTTAGACTAATTTTGTTTACCCACTAATGTTAATTGTAATGGTATCATATCACCAGATGAACTGGTGATATGACACCATTACAATTAACATTTCTTCATCTATTCATTTTATTTTAGCTGTTTTTATAGTATTTAATCATTTAATATTTGTTAATAGTTATTTTTTAAGGTTTTTTTCATCCAGAATTGCTTGTGAGATGCACAGCTATTTATATATATATATACATGTTTTCTGAGGTTTTCACAGGTATTTGTATGTGGATCTTTGGTATTCAGGTTTTCTCCTGCGTAAAATTAGAAGTATCTTGGCAACGTTTCGTCGAATTTTACTGTGTTGTCATTTCTTGATTGGTTGATGAAGTTGATATTTGCAGATTGGCTGGCTTTTTCATTAGAACATGTGTGGCTGAGGTATTGGCTGTGTGTCTATCAGCCTCCTGTGTTGTAACGACCTGGGTAATGGGCTATGTGATGACCTTCTGAGTTCTATTGTTTCGACATCCTGGGTCTTGTGCTGTAATCTCCTGGGTTGTAATGACTGTTCAACAACACATGACGCCACCACCAATCTCCCTCACCAGACTCAACCCCAAACCCACCCCATAGACAAAAGGCAACCACCATCCAGAAACCAGGCCATGGCTGCCTCACCAGCTGCCACACACCCCAACCCCCAAACCAAGCAAACTGACACACGCCATGAACACATAGCCAGGCCTCAAACTCAGAGCCAAACCAAAACCTGGAACATCACATCACAGCCACCCACTCAGGATATCACATCACGGAACTCAGGAGGTTACACCAAAAAACCTCAGGATGTTACAACACAGTCAACGACCCAGGAGATTACAACACATGACCCAGGATGTCACAACAATAGAACTCAGAAGGTCATCACACAGCCCATTACCCAGGTCATTACAACACAGGAGGCTGATAGACACACAGCCAATACCTCAGCCACACATGTTCTTACAAAAAGCCAGCCAATCTGCAAACATCAACTCCATCAACTAATCAAGAAATGACAAGACAGCCAACCTCCCCACCAGTATTTATAGAGAGACGGCAGCTCCGATCATGTCTTGCACAAGCATGAAGCCGAAAGCCTGAAAATGGCGAGTGGGACCTCGTCAAAATGTCACCAAGATACTCTCAATCTTACATGGGAAAAGACCCGAACATGCCAAGACCTGCATGCCTGTACCCATGAAAATCTACGAATATCTATATCTATATCTATATCTATATCTATATCTATATCTATATCTATATCTATATCTATATCTATATCTATCTATATATCTATATATCTCTATACTTATACCTATACCTATACCTCTATCTATCTATCTATCTATCTATCTATCTATCTATCTATCTATCT